CCTCGGTCGCCAAACACTGGGACGTTGCCTCCCAGTTGGCATTGCACCTTGCGGCCGTTGGGGCAAATGAAATATGGCGCCTCGCCCCCTTTGGCCAATGAAACGAGAAACCTTGCTCCATACATTTCTTCCCTACGGAGCATACTGCAGGGGTGTTCGGGAATTGAACAAACCGCAGCAGGTTATCAAGGGCCTCAAGGTGGACTTCGTGTTTGGTGTCCGCTTCAACTGGGCCATTAGCAGTGATCAAACTTACTGCATTCGAGGGGATCTTCTTAGCGCGTTCCTTAAAGGGAACCTCAAGGTCTGAGTTGCTAATCAAGTCCTCCTCGCTTCCGGTATCCGCGATGATCTCAAGGTTGGATCCATCTGCCCTTGCTGGTGTTGCGATCATCGGGAGGGGAACGGCTGTCTTGCAATGAATGCAGAAACCATCCCTGTTGCGACACCTATACTTGCACTTGACATTGACCCCACGCCTGATGCCGCTCACCGCTGACTCAAGATGAAGTGCAGATTTGAGAGCATCGTTGGCGTCATTGGGATCGGGCTTGGGGCAATGAGCACCTGTTGGATACTTGAACTCGTGTATCCTTTCGGCTTTGATGAAACTCCATCCCCGCCCTCAAGTGGAAAGTCAATCACCTCAGGTCTGGCAGCAAATCTAGCCTTCATGACCTTTGGCTTCAAGTAAAGTGTGGTCGTACCAATCCAGCATTCTACCGGCTTTGAGAGATCCCCAGACTTGAAGTTGTACGCAGACTTGACAAAGAATTTGGAGTCCTCTGAAGTGTACATACGAGCCTCGGCGTTGCCCTTGAGTCTCCAAAATGGAACTGGGCAGTGATTGGCCTGCGGGACATAGAGGCTTGTTCTGAACTTGTGATGGATCCGAACACATGTGCCCTTGTCCTCGTCAATGACCCAACAATCCCTAGGACCGGCTTCGCCCTTGCGGGCGGCTAGCGCCAACTTTGTTGGAACCACAGCAGAAGGCTCAACCGTAAGGGTGTCATTGGAGGAAAGACAGCATGCCGCCTTCTTGCCGGCACTTTTCCCCCTCTTCTTGCTGGGGCACCAGCGCTTCGCCGGCTACGGTGCTCGCTGCTTGCCGTCCTTATCGCCTGTAGCCGGGACAGATGGGCTGGCATCCTTGTGCAGGAAAGGGCAATTCATCTCGTTTTTACAGGTGCCCTTGGGATAGAAGAGGCATGGGGTCTTGGACTTGTCCTTGCCTTTACCTCCTCCCTTTCCACTGCCAGCGCTACCTCCTCGTCCACCCTTTGGGGATTTCGGGGGCGTTCTGCCTCTGGACTGATCGGCCTTCACATGTTCGAAAGGACAGTTTTTGCCTTTGGGGCATTTGCCACGTTGAAATGCAAAGCAGGGCTTCTTCTGCTCGCGTCGTCTGGGGGTGCCCTGTGGCGTGTGTTCGTCCCTGGGTGCTGGAGCTCCGTACTTAGCACCATGTGCCTTAGCAATGGCAGTGCGGTACGACGAGTTCTTTCTCTGGTCAAAAGCTCCTTTACACACTTCACAAGGTAGTCATAAGTATGCTTCTCTTCGCCTCCTTTGGCTCTGTCATACACTTCGAGATCAAACTTCAACTTACTGGAACCCCTGAGTTGGCGAAGGAGGATGTCTCTGAGCGTAGTCTCTTCAGGTTGATGGTTGAGACCAGCAATAACCGACTCCCATTTGTGTATGAAAGTGCTGAGATCGTCGCTGACAAGCTGTACCTTGAGGAGGTCTTCTACACTGTATATAGAGAGAGAGAGAGAGCCTGCTTCTTCGTTGGTCTTAAAGTAGTGCTCAAACATCAGAAGAACTTGTCTTCCACGAACGGCCCTTCCTCCCGCGGCTTCTGACTCCTTGTAGCATTGTAGTTGATGATCTGTCTACCGAGTTCACCCTTTGCAACTCGAGATAGAGCAGACAAGATCTTCGTGTCCGAAATCAAAAAATTTCCCGTATCCCGGAATGCCTCCAAAGTAGCAGTCTTCTCATAAACCTCCTGAATCTGCTTGAAAGCTGCATGTGGCTTGTCTGAAACTGCTCTTACTCCTACTGCAATTTTCCAAGATCTGTAGGTTTCCGGATTAGGGAAAGCGGGGAGTTTCACAGTCTCAGCCTCCTTGTTTTCGGCTTGTCATCATTGGTGTTGAGGCCAGTCGGTCACTAGTGGCTTCGGGCCTTGCCGTTTCATTAGTCTTAGGTTCGACATTATTCGGCAATGAATGATTGAAAATCTGAGACCTCCCCAAACCACCCTCAAGTTCCTTTGGAATCTGCAGGGGGTTGGGGAGAGTCGGCATCCAAGAACTAGTGACACCCTGGACTCCCTGAACTGCAGCACCAGACAAGTTGGCACCACGTTGCGGTGGGCTAAGATTCTGTGGACCAGCTTCATCCATTTCGCCAATGCCAGCTGCAATGTGGGCTCCAATTTGCGTTGGGCTTTGTCTCTTTTCGGCGCACTCAGTCCTCAGTGAGTTCGCCTCAGCCTGCAATTCGGCGTTCTGGTCCATTAGATCTGTTACCAACTCGTCACGCTGCAACTCTTCAGCAGTCATTTCAGCCCTCAACTTACTGTAACACTCATTCTCTTCCCACTGAAGCTTTTCCTCAAACTCCTGGGCGAGGTACTCTAGAAGGGTCGAGCGATTGTCGTCGAACGTTTTGCGAAGTTGTGCTGTCTGTAGCTCATTGTGCTTGAGTGCAGTTTCGTAGTGCATCGCGCATGTCTGGAGTGCCATACCGTGGGTGGTGAGCTTGAGTGCTGCTTGCTTTTCCTCATGACAATCTGCCTCCCTGTGTAGTAGCTTAGCGCTGAAGTGGTCAGCTTCTGCTTTGCACGTGCTCATTTCCGAGTTCAGTTGGGTGACCAACACGTGTGTACTCTGATGAATGAAGCCGAGTCTTCTGGAATGCTCAGCGTCGGCGTGAGCCTCCAATTGCCGAACATGCATACCGGCCTCCGTACAGATGACGTCCATGAGTTGCCGGTGCCTTAGTTCCGCCTGCTCTTCGGCTTGATACTCCGCGGACCAGTTGTCTATAAAGACGTCCACTTGCTGATTCTCTTGGAGTAGTTGTGTGAAGTTGTTCCGCACGTAGGTACCCTGTGGCATGCTGCCGTCATTTCCAGCGGTATTACCAGTTTGGGGAACCAACGCCATGGAAGATAACTACGGCTGATAACCTGCAGTTTCGGGGTCTACAGCCAGCTACACAAGTGCTACCGCTAAGTCAACCCTGAAGAGTCTTTTCATCTTGGAGAATTGAGCCCCAGTGCGCGTCGCGTAAAGGTTCAGCTAAGGACATCAAAAGTAGTTGTGGGAGCAGGTAAAATCTACAGGGTTTCATGGCTTAGGATTTCGCGTTTTTACAGTGTGGGGCTGCATCTTCCGACTTCCAAAGTTCGGCACAAATTCCTGGGCATGGGATCCAGGATTTAAACTCTCTCTCGCTCTCTCGCTTGCTTGCTTGCTTGCTCGCTTGCCTCTCTCTCCTGGCATGCGGATGCTGGCATCCGCTGCGCACCCGGGTCTGATGGCCCCTCGTGAGCTCTGAAACCGAAGCAAGCAACCCACCACACCGACAAACTCTCAGAGGTTGACTCTGTTGGTGTGAAAACGATTCCGGACGAGTAAAGTCTACTCAAAGGCACTGCAAATCATCAAGGCGACACACCAGGCCACAAACCGAAAAAATCCAACCTCTCAATGCCCGAAAATCTGGATAGACAAACACACACTGAGCCCACACACCCTAAACCGTTTTTGCTGCAATCTTGCAAGCCAAGAACGCCTGGTAGTTACCCCTAAACCCGGAATCCTACACGAAAAGGAACCCTCCTTCAGGCAGCTCTGAAGGCCCTGGACGACGTCACGGCCGCTCTTGGCCGTGTCGAAGTCCCCGAGCAGCCCTGCTTCCCTGGGTTTTGGGGTGGTAGAACAGGGGTCTAAGATTTCGGTCGTGAGCTTCTCGTGGTCGGGCTTCGGGTTTGGGTTTAAAACTGTTAAAAATTGGGGATTCTGGCTCCATCGTTGCTCGACGGAGCGTACTAGGAAGGGCAAAAGACCGTGACTGTTGCGCAATGGGTTTGCGCTCTCACAACTCGGACTCTGCCGGACAAGGTCTCTCAGGGTTTAAGGTTTAGAGTGTAGGACTTAGTGTGCAGTGTTTCGGATGTTGGGTTTAGGTGAAGCGGCCGGGGCAGTTCACGGCTTCCGGGCTTTGGTTTGGCATCATAAACATCCTGACGAGCCCATGGCAAACTGAGAAAACTCTACATTTGCAACCAAGGTTTAGACATGATGGCGGCTCAGATAGCTCCAAACAAAGCAAGCACCAGGTCCCCATGTAGAAAAAAAAAAATATATATATATATATATATATACATATATATATATGCTACCCCCCCAAAAAAAACTACCGCGAGGTGCCGC